TGGATTTGGATTGTCATTTCTTCGATCCGAAAATCGAAAATCCAAACCGCAATTTTCATATTAAATCCGAACTGCCCGAACGCCCACCCCTAGTGGTAGCAATGCTAAATAATCGCAATTTTAGTTTGCAATAAACAGAAATTGTAGGACAACCGACCATTTCCTACCCAAAATAAAAGGACAAACCACTTGCAAAGTCATATCCTATTTCTGTAACGATCCGACCGGTCGTTTTGATCCCTAGCGCGCCGTTTAGCAGTTTGAGGCCATGAGCAGCTTCATTTCAGTTATTACGACTTGTACGCGTGGTCAAAATTGAATTTCGGGAAGTTCGGGGTTGATTCGGAAGGAGAATTTTCATTTCGGAAGCTTTAAGTTGAAAGAATCGACTAGGATTGAATTTTTGAGTAAACGACATCGGAATCGGGATTCGAAGGTTCCAGCAGGTTCGTATGAGGATTTCGGACTTGGGCATATGCCCGGATCGGGTATTGGATGACCCGGGAGCGTTTTGGCGCCTATTTTGGAGGTTAGCATTTTGGAAGAAATTTCATAGGTTTTGGGTTGCAGTGCATTTCAGTGTTACCGACGTTCGTTTGGGAATCCGAATCTGGGAGTAGCTCCGTATGGTGATTTTGGAGTTGGGAGCGCGATCGGAAGTGAATTCGGATGTCCGTGGAGCATTTTGGAGTCATTTGGCTAAAGATAGAAATTTGAAGGTTTTTGAGAAGTTTGACTGGAGGTGGACTTTTTGATATCGGTGTCGGAATCTCATTCCGGAAGTTAGAGTAGGTCCGTAATGTCGAACATGACTTGTGTGCAAAATTTGAAGTCAATCGGACGTGATTTGATAGGTTTAAACATCGAAAGTAGAAGTTTGAAATTCTAAAGTTCATAAAGTTTGGATTGGAGGTCGATTCGTGATTTTAGCGTTGTTTGTTATGATTTGAGGCCTCGAGCAAGTCCGTATGTGTTTTGGGACTGGTTGGTATGATTGGATGGGGTCCCGGGGGCCTCGGGTGGATTCCGGATGGTTAACAGATCGAAAATAAAATTTTGACAAGTGCTGAAGCTGCTGCTTCTTTCATAACCGCACCTGCGGTTGGTGGACCGCAGGCGCGAGACCGCAGATGCGGTCCTCTCATCGCAGAAGCGACCCAGGGCAGGCCAGGGCAGGAACCGCAGATGCGGCTCCCAAGCCGCAGATGCTGCCTGGAGACCGCAGATGCGGTCCCAGCTCTTTGGCCCATTTTCGCAGATGCGGCCCATGTCTCGCAGATGCGGAATTGCTGGAGGCAGTGAGGTTCTTTTAAATCGGGGGTTGGGTTCATTTCAACCCCATTTTCTTCCATTGGAGCCGATTTGGAGCAACTTTGAGGTGCCATTTTCACTACCAAGCATGAGTTTTGGAGCATTGTGCATCAATTTGAGTTTTCGGAAGAGCATGGAAGGCCGGTTATGGATCTTCGGAGCGACGTGAGTCTCCTTTCTAACCTTGTAAAAGGAAATTGTCCCCATAGGTGAAATAATTGGTTATGTGCTCCTATTTGTGGGGGATACGTACGCACGAGGTGACGAGAGTCCGTGCGTAGTTACTAATATGTGTAAGTCCGGGTAGTTTAGGACCCAAAAAGCATGCTATACTTGGAATATCTGTGATCTTACTGACAATTGAATTTCTTAAATCCTATCGAATTGGTAAATGAATTCATAAGAAGATTAAACTCCATTTTTCTTGAATTGTTAAAAGAGAATTTGGCTCTTCCTTGGATAATTGTTCCCTGATAAATTCAGGATTGACTGATTGTCGTGTTTATTTATATTTGACCGCGTCGCATGTATGATTCGCGAGCGGGGTAATAGATGCATCAATGGTTCGGGCAGCTCGACCCTCGGCAGTGCACATTTTAAATATTGTTGGATCGGGCCGTACGGCCTCGGCATGAGTTGCGCATGCTTGTATTGCTTGCTTTGATATCTGTTGATACTAATATCTGCTCTCCCGACTTGAGAAAATTTGTTAATTAATGGATTATGAATCCAGAGACTTTTAATAAAGAGGAACTTTTACCTGTTTAGTAATTTACTTGAATCTACTGTTGTTCTTAATAAATCCGTGAGTCATCGCATTAATAATAATATTACTGGACCTTTAGTAAGTGTCGAAGTTGCCATCTCGTCTCTACTTCTTCAAGATTAGGCGGGATACTTACTGAGTACACGTTGTTTTTGTACTCATACTACACTTCTGTGCATTTTTGTTACACAGGCACATGCGCCACTAATGGCTTAGCAGGCGTAGCAGCATGGTTGACACGGAGACTAGGTGAGCTGTATTAGGCGACCCGCAGCTAGTATAGTCTCTCTCAGGATTCTATTTATTTTCTGTCCAATTGTATTCCGGACAGCTGTTGTACTTTATTCGATTTTTCTTAGAAATTGCTCATGCACTTGTGACACCGGGTTCTGGGATGGTTATGGAGTATTTTGTATTAATTGCTTATTTTTAATTTGACTTGAAGCAATTATCTTCTTAAATTGGTAAATTTGAAGAAAAGTCATAATTTTCAAGAGTATTAAAATGAGAATTTAATTAAGTATTTTGGGTTGGCTTGCCTGACAGTGGTGTCCGGCGCCATCATAACCTTTAGTGGAATTTGGGTCGTGACAATTTCAGTTGCTAAAATTGCAAAATTAAATGATATTCTTAACCATTTGGTCTATTGCCCATTTTGGAGAAAATAGATGCACTTACAGATATAGATCAAGGAATATCTAAACAAAAATTAGCTAAAGGAGCTATATAAAATACATTTTCCAACAGTATTAGTATAAAATTAGGTCATCAGATGCACAACTAAATGAGCAGGACAAATAAACGCATAGATTGTGTGATTTAGGTACTAAAATCTAAATTTGCTCTTTAAGGAAGAACTATCTGTTTACTTTATTTTGTTACAATAAATTTTACTAATATTATTTGGCAAATATACAGCTGGCTCAACCTCCATTAGTTTCTTATACGTTACATGCTCATCCACCAGAATATATTAAATAGAGTATCATTAAATTATAGTTGCAGCTTAGATATAAATAATTTAGGATTGCAGCAATTGTCCCCTAATTTAAAATCAGATTTTGCATGTGCATGAACGTGTGCTGTGGCGACGAGTTAGGAGTAGATCAAGCCATTCGTTTATCATAACATAAAATTTCACAAATATATATATTTATCTCAAGCTAAACCCCAGATCTAAACACATCACAAACAAGATTCTCTATCTGTTCAAAATATTTATAAGTGATTTTATCCTGTGGCTTTACATATGATCTTAGACATAACTTATAGCTGAATTATCGGATGGTGTCTCCTTTTGATTTTAGGTGATTTGTAAATTGTCTTAGGTCAGAATTTACACATTTAATATAATTTTGGATTTAAATATGGTAAATTATTTGAGTTTCTGATAATTATCATATCACCTTTACCTTTTAATATTATAACTAGTATTAGCTTAGTAACCGCGTGATGTGCGAATAATATTGTGCAGGTTCAACTTTATAAACAAAAAAAAAAAAAAATCACATGAATAATTATTGTCAGAAACTCAAATATTATAACCCCATATATAATCGTTGATACAAACAAATAAAAGTAATTAAATAATACTATACGGAGTAATAATTAATAAAATATTTATTGATACTTTAATTTAAATTACAAAAAATATATTCTATTATTATCTTTACAGAAGCACCTCTCAATAACATCAACTTCTACCAACCTAGAATTGCAAAATTATATTTATAACATTTAATATTTTAATATTGAATAACAAACTAATATGTACATATATACATGATGATTTATTGACAACCTACATATTTTCACTTTTGACGGTTACCAACATACAAAACAATTGGATCGAGATTTGCTCAACAATTTTGATGCCGCTTCAATTTTAACCACCTAATTAAAGTTACTTTACTTTTAATATTTAAATGATACTTTCGGGACATACGGCTCAATCACTATTTGTAAGTAAGGATATTCGATAAGACTCTTCAACTTTATGGGTGTCAATTTTTCCTAACAATTTGTTTTAGAAGAATCAATCATTTTTCCAATTAGATAAACACGTACTTCTAATATTTTTCTTCTATCATGCACATATCTTAAACAAATTAAAGATAAGTGTTACTGCTGCTTGACTGGTAATTCTTAATTAAATAAATCTTATCTTTGCTTTTTGTAATTAGCTTTATTTTGTGTAAATTAAATAGCAATCTCAGATTGTACAATTATACTCCTCCTCTATATGTTTACTTCGCTCAAATATATTTCATTTGATTAAGATCCCAACAGCTGCTTAATCGATTGGCTCAATAATATTGGAGAACATAAATATCAACAAGGGCTAAAAAGTCACGGTTCATACCTGACCCATTAGAGAAGAATTCATACTCCTATTACTATCTATTTTAGCATAGCAACTACAAAATAAATAGGAAAAACTAAAAATAATATGTATTGCTTCCAAACAATTGAGACATAAGACAAACTATAAAAAATTTTATAATCAGTTTCACCGTAATGTAATGTAATTGACATTGATTTCAATTAATTTTTCTTAAAATATATCAGTTAAGATATGCCAATAGGTTGTATCTTTAGAAAAATAATTATTTTCTTTTCATTCAGATTCAAAAGAAATCTTATTTACTATTTTTGTATTTAAATTAAAAAATAATCTTATCTTTTAATTTAAATTAAATATTATTGGATATTATCTTAAATTTTCAAGTGATTTTATAGTAGCTAGCCACTTGACTTAAACACAATGAAACTTTATTCCACTAATATATAAATAGATATAGATATAAATTATTATATTATTATTATGATGATGACGATGATGATTATTGTTATCATAGTAGATGTGAACATGGATATGATAGTCTTTAAAGTTCTCACTAGTCTTAAATTACACTAGAGAGAACAAAAACAAGTCTGTATATATAAGTTAAATTCCTCTCAAAAAGAGTACAAAACAAATTTACACCGTCACTTACCGAAGGGAATACTTAGTCAACGTTTGCATTGATTTTCGATTGCAACAATCCCATGAAGAGGAAGATTAAGTGAAGACTCATTTAATAAGATTCTCTCTCTCTATTCGAGCAGTTAATTAATTAGTCTATATCCCCACCTTCTTTGACCATCTATTCATTTCATCTCTCTTAAATCTTTTATATCACTTTCATATATCCCTTTTCTTCTATCTTTCTCTATCTTAGTTTGAGATTAATTTTTGCTAGTAGCCATGATTAATGGGAAAGACATATATGATGTTCTTGCTGCAATTATACCATTATATGTTGCTATGATCTTAGCTTATGGCTCAGTCCGTTGGTGGAAAATCTTCACACCAGATCAATGCTCTGGAATTAATCGATTCGTGGCGGTTTTCGCCGTTCCATTGCTTGGTTTTCACTTCATTTCTACCAATGATCCTTATGCTATGAACTACCATTTCATTGCTGCTGATTCACTTCAAAAAGTTGTGATTCTTAGCGCACTTTTCGTATGGCAAGCCGTGACCAAAAATGGTAGTTTAGAATGGATGATCACTCTTTTTTCCTTGTCAACTTTACCAAATACTTTAGTTATGGGAATTCCATTGCTTAAAGCTATGTATGGTGATTTCTCAGGGAATCTTATGGTTCAAATTGTGGTTATGCAAAGTGTAATTTGGTATACACTTATGCTTTTTATGTTTGAGTATAGAGGTGCTAAGTTATTAATTGGTGAACAATTTCCTGAAACAGCTGCTTCTATAACTTCATTTCGTGTTGAATCAGATGTTGTTTCACTTAATGGTCGTGAACCATTACAAGCTGATGCTGAAATAGGAGATGATGGGAAATTGCATGTTATTGTTAGAAGATCTTCTGCTTCTTCTATTATTTCATCATATAACAAGTCACATTTACAGTCAAATAATATGACTCCAAGAGCTTCCAATTTAACTGGTGTTGAGATTTATTCTGTTCAATCGTCTCGAGGTCCGACCCCGAGGGCATCTAGTTTTAATCAGACTGATTTTTATGCTATGTTTGCTAGTAAAACAGCAAGTCCAAAACATGGTTATACAAATAGTTTTGGTGGAGATGTGTTTTCTTTGCAATCATCTAAAGGGCCAACTCCAAGAACCTCAAATTTTGAAGAGGATATGTTGAAGAACAAGAAGACTAGGGGAGGTACGTAATATTAAATTGTATGACCATCTCGTTTAAAAAGATTATATATACTTTTAGTTAATTTATTTATATTATGTCTCGACAGGTAGGAGTATGAGCGGGGAGCTATTCAATAGTGCTAGTACTGCTTCTGCTAATGGAATAGGAGCACCACCTTTATATCCACCACCAAATCCAATGTTTTCAGGGCAAAGGAAAAAGGAAGTGGGAAGTGGGAGTGGAGTGCCAGTGCCAGTGCCGATGCCGAATAATAACAATAACAACAATAATAACAATAATAAAGAGCTTCATATGTTTGTTTGGAGTTCAAGTGCATCTCCTACATCTGAAGGTAATCATAGAAATGCAGTTAACAAATCTGGTTCAACTGAACTTGGGATTCTTGATGCATCTAAGGCTGTTCTTCAACAAGAGATAGCTGCAGCAAGAGGTAAATTAAAGTCCTTTTTTTTTTTTTTTTTTTAAATCTTCAAAATTTGTCTCTAGTGCATACAAACAATTAATTATTTTCTGTCCTTTTTGACATTTTTGGCTCCTATTAAGTCCTTTCTTGTTCATTTTTTTCTTAGTTGACCTTCTTCAATCATTACGGATTTACCTTATAATACAGTAAAAATATTTTATACTACTACATATTTTAATATGTTGCAGCAAGTAACCTGTTATGTTTTGCATGTTACTATTCCTCTTTCTAAGAACACATATATCTACTTGTAGTAGCTTTTAGGTGATCTAATAGTGTAAAACAAAATTAAACTGTCAGTATATAAAAATTAAAATTTGAGATTGAAGGGGGCTATCCTTCTTGCTTACTGAATCTAACCACTTAGCTTAAAAGGACAGCCCGATATGCGAAGCATCCTGCATTCAGGATCCAGGGAAGAGCCGCACCCCAAGGGGTGTCATGTGGGCAACCTACCCTGATGCAAGCGTCAGTGGTTGATTCCACAGCTCAAACCCGTGGTCACATGGAGACAACTTTAACGTTGCTCCATGGCTCCCCTTATAATCGCTTAGCTTGGGCAACAAAACAATTTATATATATGCTGGCCGGACTAAAGATTTCTTTAATTTTATCCTCTTTTTTCATTGTCTCTTTTCTTATTTGATAGAGAATGCAAGTCCAGTTGGGAAATCAATTGGAGATAAAGAAATAGAGATTGAGGAAGGTTCCAAGTATTCAGGAAATGGCTCTCCTTTCCCAGGGCAGAAGAAAATGGACATGGAATTAGAAGGAGAGAAGAAACAACAGATGCCTCCTGCTAGTGTTATGACAAGGCTTATACTTATTATGGTGTGGAGGAAATTGATAAGAAATCCAAACACATATTCAAGTTTGTTAGGTCTCATTTGGTCTCTGGTCTCATTCAGGTCTGCTTCTTTCTCCTTCTTCTACCAATTAATTCAAATGTTTCTACATATTATAATGTATGAAATAATTAAAACCATCTGAATTGTCTTCATATAGTGAATTGCATTTATTTTGTATTGCTGGAATGAGTTTGGCCACCTAAGGGTGTCTCTAATCACTTCATCACTTAATAGCTCCAAGTTGTCTAGATTAATAATAATTCCTTTTTCTTTAAAATAAAAGAAAAATATTACTCCGTCTGTCCAGTTTATCTGGCGGGGCTTAGATTTGGAGAGTCAAACTTTTTACTTTTGACCGTGAATTCGTACATAAAATCTTTAAATTTTCGAAACAAAAATTGTATATTTGGAAACTATGTAAACAGTATTGTAAGTCACAATAACTAACTATCCAAAATATTTGTAAGGCATATAAAGAAATCACGGTCAAAGAAAAACTCCTTTGACTCTTGAAATCCGAACTCTGTCACATCAATTGGGACGGAGGGATTACAACCTTAAGGACTATAGTGATTAGAATTTAAATGTTGGTGTCCAAAATGTGCAGATGGAATATTCAAATGCCTTCCATAGTGAAAGGATCAATCTCAATTCTATCAGATGCTGGTCTTGGAATGGCTATGTTCAGTCTAGGTATAATTTGTTTTCCTTTCAAACAAATAGAGTATAACATACACAATCTTAATAAACTTTACATAATATATACTAATTGGTTTAATATATAGGTTTGTTCATGGCTTTACAACCAAAGATCATAGCCTGTGGGAAATCTGTTGCCACATTTTCAATGGCAGTAAGGTTCTTAACAGGACCTGCAGTCATTGCAGCTACATCAATCGCTATTGGCCTTCGCGGTGTATTACTACATGTTGCCATTGTTCAGGTACATTACGAGTTTAACTTTTATGTACTGATAGTCTAAACTGATGATAAGAACGTTTCAAATTAACATTGCCATTGTTATAACTTGCAGGCTGCTCTTCCCCAAGGCATTGTTCCCTTTGTGTTTGCAAAAGAATACAACGTCCACCCTGATATCCTTAGCACTGCGTAAGTTTCTATTAATTTTATCAAAATATTGTTATGTTAGACATGAAGGGGCGCATTGGCTGGCGTAACTTGTAAAGTTGCTGTCATGTGACCAGAAGGTTACAGGTTCGAGCCGTGGAAATAGCCTCTTGTAGAAATACAGTGTAAGGCTACATAAAATCGACTCTTGTGGTCCGGCCCTTCTCTAGACCCCCACATAGTGGGAGCTTAGTGCACTATGCTGCACATTATCTGAATATATGAACTAGAGAATCATTTTACATAGCAGAATTATTTTCCTTTTTGGCTTCCAAATGTAAAGCAAAGATGTTTGTAATCATTATTCAAATTCTCATTTTTCTTTGTTCTTTGGCAGGGTTATATTTGGAATGCTAGTTGCCTTGCCCATTACAATACTCTATTACGTGCTTCTTGGGCTTTAAGTTTTTGGTGAAGACATGGGGAACAGAGACAGATAAGTTCAATGAATCCAAGAAATAATTAAGCCACTGGATTCAGGGAAGAAAGACAACAGGAAACTACTATATGTTCCCCTGCATGTGACTATTGGGACTTCCTTCTTATACAAAAACTGCATTAATTTATTTTAATTCTTTTTTTCATTTTTTAGTTGTAATTTAATTAATTGCTGTTACCATAGTTAGCTTAGGAAGAGGAACTGGCCAATAGTAGAATTATTGATGTATTATTACTTTTATTTACTAATATCAAAGTTTTAGTTTAGATTTAAACATTTGACACTATTGTCTTCCTCAAATGTTGTTAACCTGTTCATTAAGAAGAAATTAAAAAGAAAGTTCTCCAAAAGCCTAATATTTAAATGTTAGAAGGGGCAGATCAATTATTCGGCAAGTTTCTACGCCCCCAAAAAGGTAACGGAGGAGTGCAAAGATTTCCTCGGGCCTGGTGGAGATTGGCCCTCAAGTGCAATGGTAGAAGGGAGCTTGACTGCAACACCCACCCATCAAGCAGGTACGAAAGTCGGCCTTACTGATCCGACGGTGCTGAGTGGAAGGGTCATCGCTCAACGGATAAAAGTTACTCTAGGAATAAAGTTACTCCCCAAGAGCTCACATTGACCGGAAGGTTTTGCACCTCGATGTCGGCTCTTTGCCACCTGGGGTTGTAGTAAGTTCGGTCCATATCCGATGTGGGTGTTAGCGCATTGAAAGGACCTTTCCCTAGTACGAGAGGACCGGGAAGGACACTAGCTTGCCAAATTTCTGTGGTATATTGGCTAGATCAAACCTTTAATTAAATCACAACCTACGTTTTACACAATGGAGAAAGAAAAGGGATTGTGTTCTTTTTCCTTTATCATTTTCTATCAATATATTAAAATTAAAAAAAGTTTCTACCTTGTATATTTTTCTTCATTTACTTTCTCACTGCTACAAGCCCCTACTGTTAGGATAAATTTACTTACTCCTATTTAAGTCGAATTGTGAACAAAAGCAAATATACATTGATGTGTGTGGGTGCAACAAAGTCAACTAATTTTGTAAAAATTCAAGAAAGTAAAAGATGTTTTCTTTTCACACAAGCTAGGTAAATGAATAGAATGAAATAGAAGTTTCTACTTCAATAATAAAGGGATTCCTTCCGATTCAAAAAAAAAAAAAAAAAAAAAAAAGAATAGACGGTTTCTATGGTGAAGACTAGAGGTGTACATGGACCGGGTTGATTCGATTTTTATTAAAAACAAATCAAACCAACTATATCGGTTTGGATTGATTCGGTTTTGTCAGAGTTTTCGGGTTTTTTCAGGTTTTTTGTAACATGAATATTTTTTCAATCTTACTTTGTTAAATTTTTTATAAGTAAATATATATTTAGTAAAAATTTAAAATACTGATTAAAATATTTTTATGGGAGGATTTTGTTAATAGCACATGATAGTTATTTTTTAGTCGTTTGACAATAATTTTTCGTTGATGTATGCTTTCAAGGTTAAACGAATTTAATAATTAAATATAAAAATCAATATGATACCTAATTAATGATATGTTCTATTTAATTTTAGATTTCCAAAATACCACTTCAAATTCAAAAAAGATATAAGAATTTAATATATCTTGGCATATGAACATGGAAGAACAAAGAGATTGACGCATTTCAGTAATACTTGATAAGAAAGTGATGATATAACCCATTATTTAAGGTTAATAAAAATGGAGTACCTCATATTCTATTAATAATACTTCCCATTATATAATTTTTGTAAAGAAAATTATATATAAAGTCTTAAAAGTATATATAAAAATTATATATTTATATGTCGGTTTGGTTCGGTTGTTTTACTCAATACCAAACTAAATCAAACCAAACCTAGTCGGATTTTTTAATCGGTTTAGCTTGACTTTTCGGTTTGGTGTGGTTTTCCGGTTCGGTTTGTACACCCCTAGTGAAGACGTTTTACTAAAGTAACAAATTGTGAAAATTGAACTAAAGAAAAAATTATGATTGTTGTACCTTTTGTACAGTTTAAGCATAACAAAATTTATTATAAAATAAAAGTCAAACGAGGTGGATTCTATTTAATTTTTTGGGTAAATTTATTCAATTTATTTTATTCCGGCCATGTTGGCTTTATTTGACCATCTTGGTTCTTAAAACTTCTACATGCACGTGAAAGCTTAAATTCAATAATAAAGGATAATCATACTGGGAAGAAGTGAAATTTAGCTTCAGAGCGTTGTTCCAAGATTTGCCTATTTAAAAAAAACTTCTTGTTCTGATCAGTTTCAAGCATCTTGACAATTTTTTAATTTGCTGTATCATGTGACACCTTTAGTAGGAAAGAGACAGTTGAACACTTTTGAATCTAAACCTCTACACTCAACTGAACATTCTTTTTTAATTCATTACAATCACAATGAAGGGTAGCAACACTAAAGTTGTCTTCGTATGACTTATAGGTCACGGGTTCGTATCGTGAAAGCAGTCATTAATGCTTGCAGTAGGATAAACTATTTATGATCATATTCTTTGGGATACGGCCCTTCCCTAGTCCTTGCGTAAATGTTAGATTCTTTGTGGATCGGGCCTCCCTTTTTTTTTTTTTATAACCAAAATATCAATTTTCTTATAGGTGTTTTCCAAGAGCAAAATTTCCTTTTACTCCGTTGAAGTCATTGGATCTTCAAATAAATATTTACCTTGCGTATATCCACGTCAATCACCAAATATATTGTACGTTCATGGCACAAAATTCATTGCAGTGATAATTAACTAAATACACTTAGTGCACTTTGACATGCATGCATTTTCATTTTTTGGACCGAATACATTCAAGTAACTGAAAAGTGATAAGATAATATGCTTATTTTTTCACTTTATTAAGGAAATCATGATATTTGAGTATTTATTTTATTATTAGGCTTGACACAAGTTGCAAAAAATCCTTTAGAGAGTATTCGTGCCTTAAATTTTATGTGCTATAATTAAGCATGTGCCTTAATGTGCAGGATGTTTCCATTTTAGCTTCACTATTTGTAGATTAAGCGAAGAGCTAAACGTATGTAGTGTCACAAAAAGAAATATTTATTTCGAAAGGGACGGAGTAATTTAACGATAAACCGAATTATACAAAATCTATATTCAAAAGTTTGAGTTTCACTCATAAACGAAAACGGAGTTATGGTAACCACCATCAACAACTACCCGATCGATCAAGAAATGTTTGAATTATTGATACTGACAAAAAAAAGACTGAATAATAACTTGGCCATTGTCTTAATCTATTCTTCTGAATTAGTTCAAAGAACAAGGCGTTTTCTGAATCAAATTATGTATTATTAATTGCCTACAAACAATGCATGTGATAATGTTCCTCCAAGTCTGAACAAAATGGATCTTACCAGCACGACAACAGCGCACTTTTATAAGAACTCTTTGTAACCGTTAGAAGAAAAGGATACATTAATTGTTCCCTTTTAACTTAACCATCAAATTCAGTCATATATATTAACGGCGTAAAAATATATTTACCATCAGTTTAATATTTAACAGGGAATATCAGGTTATTATATTATTACGTAGGTTATAGTATTACGAGTTTGTTATGAAGAGTTACATGCTGTTGTAGGCTAATATAAATTGATGGTATCAAATATTTGTGCACAGAACTTAAATTCATTGTGCATGCAGTTTCTTTTTCGACGTTTCAAAAAAGATTTGGCTCCTATGTGGCCATAGATTTTAGCAACTTTTTGTAAAAAAAAAAAAAATTGAAAATATTGTTTGTCATAGAATATTAGAATTTTTTTTTTTCAAGTTCTCAAAATCTAGTTTAGGGCAGTTTTTGGGTGATCTTCCACTTACAAAAATTTAATTTTTTTTTCAAATAAAATACATGTCCAAACACAACTTTAACTTCCAAAAATTATTTCAGCACAACTTAAAAAACTCTTTTTTCAAGTTTCAACCAAATATATGTCCAAACGTAGCTTAATGACTTGATACTGTTTATATAAAAAATTCAGTACGTACGTCCCCTTAAAGACTTGGGAAATTGCTATATATTATCACCACAGTATTTTACAGCCTCACGTGGACAGCAAAAGAAAGGCTTAAGATTATAGTTTGAGTACAGATTTGTATATTAAAAAAAATAATGTCCTTGAATATTCTAAAAGGAAAGCAGAAGTACATTCATATTGAGATTTTACCCAGTTCCTGCAATCTCTGAGACATGTCTTAAATAAACTGAAAGGAGAAGAGAGTTTGTGTAAACAGGAGAGCAGACAGCAGGACCTCTTGATCATGTGGTTAAATACACACCTTGCAACGAGAGAAGTTTCTTAATTACTTATTCAAGGAATCAAATTAAAGTTTGTGTAATAAGTACACAGGCTGTCAATAAAATTCTAGTAATGTATATGATTGTTGTATACTGGACTTAAAATTTTAACTTCCTTTCTAACTACGAAAAGACTTTTTTCTTTTAATTTCTATTATATTGGGGAAAGGGGAGGGTGACGAGGAAAAGAAAGCATGGAACTTACAACACACTCAGTAAAATTCCACTAGTGGTGTTTGGTAAAAAGCAATTATGGAACTCGGGGTTGAAAAATCTCAGGGCTTCAAGGTGAACTCTTGAAAAAATTGGAGTAAGAACTTGAAAATTTTGAAAAGAGATTTACTACTTTTATTAAGTTTCACATACAATCGAATAAATTTTCTATTATTCTATCTGTCCTATTGTATGTGAAGATATTTGATTGAAAAGCTATAACCATCCTTGTTTGTCCTCTTTTTGGTCCTTGTTATACTTTTACTTCCATGTAGGTTATAGTTCATCTTTTTATTTTCGTTTTGCTTCATTTTTCCTTCTTTCACTTATGATAGATAGCTATGCATCAAAATGTGACTATGAATAGAAATAAGTTGTATGTTTTTTTTTTTTGAAAATGTCCTGAAGTTCGAATTGAATGTTCTGCAGTTCACATGTAGCAGTGCAAACTTCAAGACACAGTGTCCTAAAGTTCATGTGCGGCAGTTCAAACTTTAGGACACAATATCCTCAAGTTCACGTGTAGTAGTGCAAACTTCACAACATAAATCCTAAGTTCACTTATAATAATGCAAACTTTAGAACGCGGTGTCCTGTCCTGAAGTTTGACTCCTCAACGCAAATTTCAAGATACTGTCTTGAAGTTCAATTGTTATGATTTGAACTGTAGGCCTCTTCCTTTCTCCATATTGGAGTTGCTTCTTCACCAGCAGAGACAGTAGATGTTGCACCTGGGCATCCACAATCCTGCAACCCATGCATGTGTTGGGCTAAAACGGCCCAATGACACTCTTAACATGGTGTGATATTGTCCGCTTTGGGCCAAACTCGCACGGTTTTTCCCAAAAGGCCTCACACCGTTAAGAGATCACTACACCTTATATGTAGACTCCCAATCTTTTCAGCTACCGATGTGGGACTTTGTTCGCGCACCCAACAATCTCCCCCTCGAACTAAGTTCCACGTGGTCCACTACCACGATCCACGGGTCAATTTTCGAGATTCACTGTGTGCCACCCACATTGTTAGAGTGTTATGGCAACCGAAGCCCGCAACTAGCTTGCATGTTCTCTTTTGTTGCTAAGTAAGAGATGTGAGGCACAAAGTAAAGTTTCGGGTACACAGAATCCACTTCGTCAAACATATGCAATATTGTATCCACCTATGGAAGGAGTTCTGTTCTCTCCAAGGAAATTTTGTTTAGAACACGATTTTCAGGGGAGCTCATGAGACCGCTCTGCCCACCTATGGAAGCAGCAGTGTGATTTACAACTCCATAACACTGCCTGAGATAAAGGGAGTACTTTTCAAACAAAAAGAAGTATACAAGTTCATCCACATTGGTTTCTTCTTATCAGAATAAGAAAGAACTATGAGATACACATTGCTTCTGCAGAACAAGCTATTTCAATATACAACTTTTCATAAGGTTTAACACGGGTGTTACATAGCATGCTCCTGTTAGCTATCATTTGTTACCAGGAAAAATTTTCAGACGAATAATGCTACAATTGAACAGTGCCGTGGTTAGTGATATTGTTCTCAAGTTACAAAACTTACTCTGTTGATGCACAGTTAACTACACAGATTCATCAGCACGACTTCCATCCCGACCGTCTGCACTTTCTTTGCCAAGCTTTGATTTGGATAGAGAGAACGGAGATTGTCTGGAGGATGTTTTGGATGACTGCTGCTGTGAATGCAAGTTAAGGTAAGTGTAGAAAGACATTCCAACAAGAGCCGTAATTGCCCCCAATATGCTAGTTGGACCGGGATTTGAACCAAAGAGAAGAAAACCCCCAAGCAGAATGACACATGTTTTGAACTGTCCAAGTACAACATGGGTCGTTGCAGATGTTGCCCTATTGGAAACCAAAGAAAAGAAGGCACAGAATTAGAAGCATAATAAGGAAAATTTGCAATTTGCAAAGGACTAAGCAATGCATATGAAATATCAACTTAACTTTCTTTAAGACTAGAAAGAAAAGTCATATTGGAGGGGCATACTCCAATAATTTTTCATTGTACCAAGCAAGCACAAAGACATAGTACTACCAACACAATCTTTATCTAGTAGTTCTACCCACAATCTTTATTCTTTTTCTTTTTTGGGGTGTGACAACCATCAGCCTTGGACAAGAGAGGGCAGCTCAAGTGGAAAGCACCCTCCACCTCCAACCTTGAGGCTGGGGATTCGAGTCACTAAGGGTGCAAAGTGAAGAGGGCCACTATTGCTCGTAGGGAGAGGGGTGGAGGTTGGTATATGTAGGTTATCATATAAAAAAATACCCTCAGGCTTTGATCTCTGCTTCTTTTCAAGTTGGGGTTAACGAATTGGGGACCACAAGGTTGATGAGCAGAGAATCAGGTATATTGTGGGATAATATACAAAGACACTGCTCTATGTGGGAAGAATGCAAAATTACGTGGTGAAATCACAGAGGATGTGAGAAAATGCTTGTGTTGTTTTACGGCAGACTACATACAAGAAACTTAAGCTAATGTTTGATCTGTATTGACTAATTAATTTGGCTTCTTTTCTTTGTTTGCTTCTCCAAATCTAAAACATTAGTCGATCCGTTGAGATGAAAAACCGAAAACATCAGACAAACCAAAGACAAGTTCAGAAGGTTAGAACTAAGGACACAAACTGAAAGCGGAAGCCTGTAAATGCCCCAAAGCACATACCCAAGTGCTAGAGCACCTGACCACTGAAGCAAGAAGCCAAGAACAGCCGAGGCACCAATGATTGTGGAGTTGTAAAAGTTCCAATTAAATGAAAGGACGCCGGGAGGATCAAGTGATGGCATCAACATCACCAGAAAGAACAATGTAATTGGTGTGGTCTTCCACATTAGCCTGTGACCAGAATTGCAAATTTGACGTTAGGTGCTACGGATGTAATATCTACCAAGATACAATGAACTGATTAAAAATAATAACGATAAAAGAAGCAAATCATTCACAATAGTTTAGGAACGTACGCAAGGGCAGTCCAATTCTCCTGCTGCTGGAGATTGGACCATAGTATTTTATTAACTGCACTTGGCACTATCCATGCTACTGCAATGCAAGCACCAAAGAAGTGAAACTGCAAATCTGTCACCGTAGCAACAGCAACACCTACAGATACAACAGTAAGTGCAAGCACCTGAAACATACCAGCAGGGTAAAGATCATTTTTCTTTTCAAGGGAGATGCAGATCAAAGAGAAATCATTGGGTTGGAAAACAACCGACTATACATAGTCATCAGTTATCATAAAATGCTTACCTATATTAAATAGCAAATAGAGTTATGCCGTATCAAAGCATGATAACTAGCAATTTAAGCACATCTATAGGTTGTAAAGCCAAGAAGGTAAATAGATGACATTCAAATCTCTGTCTCAGCTTGTGATAGAGTAGGAGCTTCTATGGTGTTTCCCTTTGCCTTTTTCTTTTGATGAAAACACAACACAAAAAACAAGTCTCACCTAGCAGCATATCTCATCTATTCTAAAGTAACAGTCAATAGAATCTTACTCATACATTCCAACACATCAAAAAGATCAATATGCCATATTCTCAGGTTAAGGGGGAGTATTAAACTCTATATTCTCAGATTAATCTGCAGTGCCCAAGGGCCATACAGCACACAGACAGAAAAATGGACCAATTTGACACAGATTGTTTACTAACATAGTAGTAGAAATCTGATGAATGGTTTCTGAGTTGAGATGTTGACAAATATTACATAGTGCTTGAAGTATACAAGCTGACGCTATGGCCACATCCTTCACCTCATCTCTACAGCAGCCCTCGTCCTTCTCAACACACTCTAAGATTTCAAACTCTAAGACTGTTTGAAATATCATAGAAGCATGAAACGTTTCACAGATAAAGAGAACAAATTTTAATGCACATGAGCAGTAGCCCTTATGTTGAAGTGACAAACCATTTTGTCATCTAGTTCACATACAGGACACCAATCAAGATATCCTTTCTTTTATTTCAACTTGTGTTGCTTATGCCGCAATTTAACATGAAACTGCTACTGAATTATCCATCTATCATATTATAAGTTAATGCACTTAATCTAATACTTGATTTTGGTAACTTTTTATTCTTCTTCTTGAGCCGAGGGTCTATCGGAAATAGCCTCTCTGCCTCTTCAGGGTAGAGGTAAGATCTGCGGACACACTACCCTCCCCATACCCCACTTGTGGAATTTTACTGGGTCGTTGTTGTTGGTGGTAACTTTTTATCCTCTTCCCTCTTCTTAATGATGTTCAGTTTACATAAAGTCATCAATTTCGGGTTTTCGATTAATGTGGAAATCAAGGGGAAATAGACATTTGATAATCGGAATTACTTGTGCACATCAATGAGTAATGCATTGTTATATAAGATAGTGATATTTATTGAGTTAGTTCTCCATTTCACTGGATTGAAACAGTTTAGTTCAGTACTAGTTGGCATTGACTAATAAAGTCACTTTAAGAAGAAACTTGTACAACCATTGGTATCGGAAGAGGTGGATATACTAGACCCTGAATTCATCAAATTTTAGGAGCTGGGATGTGAAAAATTAATATGGGAAGTATCAATGAAATGTCTTTTACTGGGAATTTCATTTGCATGATTGTTAGCTTTTAAGAGGTTGGCACCCCCTTGGAATAAAACTCTTCCACATAAAGCAATCAAATAGAAAAGGCAGAATTGCATGTATGGATAGATTTGGCAGAGTCAAGCATTGCACAAGATGGAGGCCAGACCTCAAGACCACGATGGAGTAACTGTAACAGCAAATCAAACCAAAAAGTAGGAAATTTTTCCAAGAATATTAATAACATACGGAAAGAAAAAAATGCATAAAGCAACTAAAACCTAGCTCTCTCCACTAGACTGCCAGCATAAACTGTATATTAACAGCAAGCAGCAATTACCTTCAGGAAAGAAATTTTCTTCTGAAAGAGAACAAATTCAGCTAAAACGATAGCCGGTGTTACTGCAATTTTCGCCATCTGGTAAAATCCTACACTGGAAATATATTGCGCTTGTTAATATCAGGAAACAAGACCTTTTAAGATTTCAGAGGAGAAACCATTGGAGTATAGGCGTAGGTCTCACCTATTATACTTCAAGCTGACATTTGCAAGCCCAGTAGAAAGTGACATAACTATACCAAGGGACAACAATGATGAATATTTTGTTGATTTTGATGGGGTCGACAAGGAAAGTATGGATAGAGCATTAAGAATAGCCATTATCAACCAGCTACAGACATAATGTAGGAAAGAGAGGAAAATTGGATAATTAAATCCAACTGTAACAAGAACCTGGAAGGGGAAACGGGAAAAGCAAATGTTACCATCTCTCTCAAAAATGTAATATCTACTTCCAATTAGAGTAAGGTTAAGTAGACTGACCACTTTGTTCATTAATATAATACTAACAGAAACAAAAAAGTTGAATGTCAGAGCAACAGTAGGCCCCCATAAGGTAGCTTGTTGACGCTTTCCACCTCCAAATGATCGTAACTTGCTAAACAAAGAGGCCCGTACCTCCTCCAATGCTCTTCCTGCATCAAAGAAAAAGAAACATAGAAACAGATTGTTGAAATGGACTAGACCATCAACAGCAAATCTCTTGTAGAAGAAAAAGCTTTTGTATCTTATAACATTTTAACTGAAGAGGGAAACTGTTCATAAATATTAGAACAGCTACTTCGACACCTTGAAGAATTTATGAATACATGATACTGTACAGGAGCAAAGCTGAGGTGTTTTGAGATGCCTTTTTACTACTTGTTTCATTTAATTAGAAACCCACAGCGAACGGGGAGAATATGTATTCTATATCTTAGGCACTTCATTGGTCTATGCTTCAAAGTTCAAACTAAATTACTTGTCAAAAACAAAATGTTCAAACTGAATTACAGAATCAAGTAGCACAAGACAAATATAAGTCCAAACGCATTTCTAGTTTACTTTTAATTTACGCTAAAATGGTGATGGAACGAAGTTATTTCGAAATGTCTTTTTTTTTCCTGTATTTTTATGAATCATTCGCATGTCATTCATCAGTATTAGAAGCGTGTCCATGCCTATAGCTCATGGTTCATGGCAACAAATGTTTTGAACTTCGCCTCCATTTGCTAGCACCATCTGAAACTTTGAGTCCATCTATAGTACCACAAGTAAGCCCATCAGAATAACCAGTGGAGATTCATTAGAAATCAGCATATTCATTACCTATTGGCCCCTACTTAAGTTGAAGTTTCAAAATCCTAAACAATCAAATAGCAAAAAGAAATGAGGTTTACTAAACCACTATAAAATGTTGCTACGGTATTCCTTTTTCCTCTCTCTCCCTCTTTAAAAACCACCATAAAGTGTCACCCTTCAGATTCATTGTTACCTCCAATATCCATACAAAAGTTCCTTCTTTTTAAACTACACAGCTTAAGCTCCAATTTTGAATCACAACCAGTAACATAATGATTACAGATAAGCAACAGAAGAATGATCAACACATGTCAACAAAATGATAAGACTTTCAACAACTAAGGCTTCATCAAGTGCAAATATACCACTCAAAGAGAACCAAATCCCTCAATAACAGGATGCCAGAACTTTTGTCAACACTAGAAAAGAAAGAACCAGAAAAAATTTCACAAATTCTAACCACATAAATCCCACGCAATCATTAAATTCAAAATATTAAAAATAGGCAATAGCAAAAGAATACATATTTTAGCAAAATGGTAAATCCCCAACACTAAAGCCCCATAAGGAAAAATAAGATAAAAATGCAATCTTGAGTAGATAAATCTTCAAATAGAAGAAGAAAGAATGGGAATGCAATAAGGGAAGAGGTGTACCTTTTTCCCCAGCATCACTGTCCTTCCTCTTCAGTATTTTCCTCACATTTTTGCTCATCAAAAACCCCAGCATCTCTCTCTCTCTCTCTCTCTCTCACACACACACACACACACAGACACACTCTTTTTCTCTATCTGCCTTCTACACCTAATTTTCAACTCATGCACTGAATCAGCATACACCCAAAATCTCTGCTTCACTGAAGAGTGAGCTCAAAATAACAGTTTTTTCTTTTTATTCTTTTTCAAGATTTTCAAAGTAAAGTGGGAATGTAAAATATATAATAGAAAAAAAACCTTATATTTATGTACCCAGAGAAAGAGGGTTTTGTCGGGGAAGGCACGTTAAGCGGAGTGATTGAGGTAAAACCAGTTAATAGAATATTCGTTAAGAAGGGAGTTAGGTGCAACTAGTAAAGCGTGGAAGTACCATCGTACTAAGGGGATGTACAATCGATATTGCGTCGGGTACTGCAGTTTTCACACTGTTAGAGAATTGTTTAGGAGAAAATCACGGGCATGCACCGACAGGACAGTTGAACACAATCATAAAAAAGAGAAAGCGATTGAGATTTGAAGGCTAAAGCTTATCCTTAATTAATGTGTTGTGTCCACTGTTTTAAGTGATTAGGTCTAAGTAGGTCGTTATTTGTTGTAGGACCACCTTTAGATATTTTGATTGCATGAGGTTTTAACTTCAGATATGCCTAAAATTATTTCTTCTTCTTTTTTTTGTAAATATTATTTTTTTTACACAACTTATCGTCAAAAAGAAAAGTGCTCCCTCGCTCCACTAGTTATATAACTCATGTTTTTAACTTAGAAAAGAAAGTAGTTGATCATTTGAAGGACAAGTGTAGACTTGTGGTGTAGAGACAAGGTCAAATCATCAATGCACGTCCGTCTAGTGTGCTTCTTTCACGATACGGTATTGATCTAAATTTGCGACTTGGCAGTCATGGATAAGCGAGAGCAAGGACGGAATCGACCGCGGTGTAATAGCAGAAGGCTGTTCTTGAGAGGGATGATGCCAAAGACGGGCAGCTGAGATGAAGAAATAACGGTAGCGTAGGTTCAGATATGGACACAAGGAATATTCCTTTGGATATTCCTTGTTTTGTACTTTTTAGGGTTTATGGGAAATATCCCTTATAAATAGGAAGAGATAGAGAACAAAAAGGGGATCTTCACTTTATGACAAAAACACATTGTAAAAGATTGACCTAAGAGAATGTACAACAGTTGTCTTGTTCATTGATTATCTTATTCAAGCATACGTTTCTGCTTCTTTATTCACAAGATCCAAAGATTCCTCAACCCTTTTTATTTTTCCTTTTTCCTCACTGCTGTCAGGGAAAAGAGCCATCCAAGTCTTACAATAATTGGGTGGTAGATTCCTTTTTGTTATATTCATTGTCATTATCTACATTTATTGCACATTTATGTTATTGCATTCATGAGCATTTAATCAGCACGAACACACTGATTAACGTTGTTTATCTTACCAACTTCACATAATATTTGGTCTAGATTTTACTATTCTTAACTAAGATTCAACCTTCAACTCATTATCAATTGGTTTAACTAAAAGGTTCAACACTTTTTGGTCAAACAATTCGGCGCAGTCTGTAGGGACTTTTTAGTTAAAATTTTAGTTCTTCTAAATTAAAAAAAAGGGGGGGGGGGGGTAACAACCATCTTTTCCTCGTTTGCACAAACTATCAATGACAGGAAAAGGAGATGAAAGATAGAAAGCAATAATGGGTGTCACTACCAACATCTTAGACACCATCAACGAGGATAACAGATGAGGCGATGAGAATGTAACACCAACTGCCACACCCAGGCGAAGTGATTCACCTCCCCTGCACGCAAGTGTAACCACCTCACGCGAGAGGGGAGCTTCCACATCCATGGCTGAGGACGCACCACCAGCAGTGAAGAAGTTATTGGAGAAGTGGCTGACAAGTACCCTCAATGACATACTCGACAAACCCGTTCAAAGGGCGAACCAAAATGTCGCGCCGGCAAATGTCATAACGACCACCGGTGAGCAACCAGCTCCCCCAACGGATAACACTCACACCATTGTTGATGCAGGCAATGATGCACTGACGGCCATTTTAAAGAAATGGAAGAAATGGAAAACGAAAATAAAACACTCTGCGACCAGATGAGAGAACATCAAGAAAGGGTCGATAAGATACCCGGCGCCCCGAAACTGCTACCAAAGAGAGATGTCGGCCAATTCGTCGAACAACCATATAGCGAGGAGGCAGCCCCACATGCCATACCCAAGACCTTCAAAATGCCACCATATTTGAAGATATACGATGGCACCACAGACCCAGAAGATCACATCATTCATTACGTCACAACAGTAAAAGGCAACGACCTATCAAAGGACCAAGTACCGTCAGTACTACTAAAGAGTTTGGGGAAACCTTAACCGGAGGAGCCCTAACTTGGTAATCACAACTACCAGCACGGTCTATAGCAACGTTCGAGGAAATGGCAGATACGTTTGTCACCGCCCACGCCGGAGCTAAGAAAGCAGAGGCTAGGGTAAACGACATATTCGTTGTTAGGCAATCGCCTGGAGAAGGACTCATGGACTTCCTCGCTCGGTTTAACAGGGTGAGAATGAGCTTGCCTAATGTATCAAAGGGGATGGCGGTAGCAGCCTTCCAAAACGGGTTGAACAGGAATGGGTCGAGGGCGACCAGGAAGTTGTTAAGCATGCTCATGAAATACCCTCCCACCACTTGGGAAGAAATCCACAAACGCTTACTACGTCGAGGTGAGAGAAGACAATGACGACCTTAACGGTCCAACCCAACGTTTAACGTCAATCCAAATAGAGCCAAAGAAAGATCGTCGTAATGACAATCGAAGAGATCTATCAGGCCCATGCCTCAATCGAGATAGGCATCAACCCTATGTCCGAACATCCATTCCACCACCCCCTGAACATGCGGAAGGGCCGTCCATACCACACACAGGGACTCAACGAAACGAAAGAGGTATGCCTCTACTCTTATCCGCTCACAATTTTTGTGTTTCTCCTTCAGAAGTAGTGTACGCACTAGAGAAGCTTGGCACAAAGGTGAAGTGGCCGCAAAAGATGAAGTCCGACCCAAGTACCCGAAAGTCGAACGTCCTTTGTGAATTTCACCAGGAGCGGGGTCACAAAACCGAAGACTGCATAGCCCTACGGCAAGAGGTGGTGAACATGCTAAACCAAGGACACCTGAAGGAGCTTATGAGTGACTGAGGACGAGCCAACTTCGGCCACAGACGAGAACAACACCAAGGCCCTCCAAAGCCGCCCTCTCCTACCCACACCATTCAAATGATCATCGGTGGAGGCGACGAAACAGCAATCAACCACATAAAATCTACCACCACGCACAAGCTAAAGCGATCAATCACCCACGAGCGGTATGATGACCTCGGAAAAAGTATCATCTTAAATAAATTAGATACCAACGGTTTGATCTTTCCTCACTCCGTTGCTCTCGTCATTACTTTACGTATTTTAGATACTGATGTTAAAAGATTAATGGTAGACGACGAAAGCAACGCGCGTATTATCCACCCTCGAGTTCTTGCACAAATGTGACTCAAGGACAAGATAATACCACGCTGCATAACACTGACGGGTTTTTAACAATGCAGTCGAACGAACCTTGGGAGAAATAACACTTCCCGTTCTGGCCGGGGGCGTTACCCTAGAAACAACACTCCACATCATGAACCAAGATATGGCTTACAACACAACATAGGACGACCATGGATACACGTCATGAGAGCCATCGCGTCCAGACTGTATCAAGTAATCAAATTCCCAACTCCATGGGGGATATTCAGCATCCAAGGTGAATAGCGAACAGCGCAAGAATGCTACCGCATCGCCCAAGATTGCACATTCACTCAACAGCTTAAAGGAACAAACTTAGAAACATAGCAATTATCAAAGTCGGGGTTTGAGCCCAGCGATCGGAAAGATGTTATCCAGGACCCTGACGTTGTGGAAGCAACAGGGTCGACAATATAACACCTTGATCCCGTCTAATTAGACAATAACAACAGTAGCAAAAAGGCTTATATAGGCCATAAGCTCTCCGAGCCAGGTATATTTCATAAATTTCTTATTGATAATGCCGATCTGTTTGCATTTTCCCACGCATATATGCCAAGAATTCCAAAAGACATTACCACACACAAGTAAAACGTCTCGATCCCTTCTACCCCTAGTACGACAAGTGAGAAGAAAATTCAACACCGCCAACGAGGCCGTCAGCGAAGAAGTGAATAAATTACTCACTAACGGCTACATCCAAGAATCAAAGTATCCTCAATGGGTCGCCAATGTAGTCATGGTAAAAAAGAAAAATGGGAAGTGGCGAATGTGCGTAGATTTCACGGACCTGAACAAGGCCTTCCCGAAAGACTCCTTTCCCTTGCCTCATATCGATCAGCTAATTGACGTAACAGTAGGGCACGAGTTGTTGATCTTCCTAGACGCCTATTCAGGTTACAACCAAATCCTCATGGAGGAAGAGGACCAAGAGAAGACTACCTTCATCACCCATCAAGGAACGTACTGTTATCGGGTCATGCCATTTGGCTTACAGAACGTACGGGCGACTTATCAAAGATTGGTAACCAAAATGTTCAAAGACCAACTCGGCAAAACTATGGAGTTTACATAGACGATATGTTGGTCAAACCGAAAAGGAAGGAAGATCACATCAATCACCTGAAAGAAGCCTTCGGAATACTGAGGCAATACGGGATGAAGCTGAACCCCGAAAAATGCGCCTTCGGCATAACTTCAGGCAAGTTCCTTTGTTTCTTGGTGTCACAAAGAGGAATCGAAGTCAACCCCGGCCAAATCAAGTCCATTGAGGGAATACCTGAAATGTTAACTAGCAAGAAACAGGTGCAAAAATTGACGGGTTGCATAGCTGGCCTGTCGAGGTTCATCTCATGATCCTCCGATAGATATCACAAGTTCTTTAACGTGCTTAAAAATGACAACGGGCTCCAATGGAATGAAGAATGAATCAAAGCCTTAAGATAACTAAAGGCATATTTGTCATCTCCCCCGCTACTCGCCAAGATAGAACCCGGTGAACGCCTCCTTATATATTTGGCCGTATCGGAGGTCGCGGTAAGCGCAGTGTTGGTCCGCGAAGATAAAGGTACGGAATCTACGATCTATTATATTAGCAAAACTCTTGTCGACGGCGAAACGAGGTACCCTCACCTCAAAAAATTGGCCTTGGCATTAGTTATAGCTTCACGGAAGCTTAGGCCTGTAAGGCCCCAGAAATTTTCGCTAAGTAATTTAGGATTTCGTGGTGTCACGTAGGCTTATTATAACATTTTTATGTGCTATTAACATGGTGTACATCCATTGAATTTGGTAAATATATGTATAAGTCTTATGGTAAGTAATTTGGGGTCCAAGGAAAGGCCAAAGTCTAAGAAAAATTTGAAAAGTCCAT